CTGACGCTGCAATGGCCTTAAAGGGGCACCTTCCAGTTAAGATTAATGTCATAACAAATTTACTTTCTGGATTAAAATAACAATGGATAACAAAAGATAAATTAACACTGTAAACAACATAAACAATAGTGTCCCATGATTCTTTGGTGCAATCCATGGGATTGAGCGGTTCCCCTTTAAGAGTCTTAACCTGATTCTTAACCTAACACCTATTATCCTAAATAGCAGGGGTGAATACCAGATTTTTTTATAGGAGTTCCAAACTTTAAAATCCCTAGACTAAGTTCATGATTTTTTTATATTTATACGAAAAACAAATAGAATACATTTTGTGGGGGTCCGGACCCCTAAGAACCCCCCTAGATCCGCCACTGAATGGTTTCAATATTCTAACGGCCTAACAGCCATATCAGTCTGAATTCTTACCTTACAGCTAACATATTTTCTATATTGTGCCGTTTATTTGTCTTGAATTATGACCGAAAAAAAATGAATGAAATGATTTACTATGTAGTAACAACTTATGTATGAACAATAACTTTAATGAATATAATACAAACGAAAGGATTCACAACGTCGAAAACGAAAAGTCTTTATCGCAGTGGGAAATCTTTATTTCAGTCCCTGACTTTGTTTTGCTTTTTTTATTATAAATGCAGCTAGTGAAATTTACGTACGTCCAGTATTTTTGAAGTTCATTGTCGTTTTCTCAAATGACCCATCAGAGTTCGTAACAAGTTCCGTGTCACGTGGCCTTATGGCTGCCAAACAATAGCCGTTGTCCCGAGTTACTACATGAAGGCGCGAATGGCATGTAAATATCAATTACGCCGCCAGGTCTCCAGTTACTTCCTGTCGCCGCTTAGTACCGTATATTTGTGTGTGACTCCAAATCCTTGATAAGCGTAAAACAAAAAAATGCACATAGTTGTCTAGTCTTCTTTCTGTGAATAGTAGTTAGTATCTGCTAAAAACTAACCGCTGTCAACATTGTATGTACACATTGCGGTAAATTAGTTTTTCAACATTCAATTCGTATTTTTGTGTAGAGAATTTCCATGTAATTCGGTTGTGTGTACTTTTCGTTAAAGTTGGGTGATTAGCTTTTATCTAGTTGAGTCTAACATTTTAATAACGACTGGGAATACATTTCCCTTTAGGTAACGATCAACTCTATGATTATAAACATATAATATAACATATGCCTCCCAGGAATAGGAATGGCGAAATCCAAAACGGTTAGAACAAATTTAGCGAACTTCTTTGTGTGGGGTCCTGTCAAACCATGGAGGCAGCCATGTTTGTTTTTATTATTAGAGGATGCTTACGCGCGTAATCGTTCCATATTCGTAATTCGCGTTTTTTAACATTGTAGGACAAAATACCCCGGGCAATACCGCAAAATTACGGCACGCTGTAACTTATGGCGTTATGGTGACAGATGTATAATGTAGTACGCTCATAATCACAATTCTGCTTATCTAAACTACATCAAGGATACAAAACGTGGTTCCATATGTTATTTCACCTCTCTTATAAACATAATTCTATCCCGCAACAACAAAATGACACTTCCGGGCATCTGCGCCAGTCAGTCATGGCTTGTCTCGTATTATTTCAGTAAATCATCACCAGCTGTGGCGCTGTAACTGACGGACGACTTGCGTTGTCAATCATTTGACTTGTTTATAAGAATTTATAAGCAACGATACATAATGAATCAAAACACATCACTATGTGCGTATATATTGTATAGTTTCTCAAATTTTAATAATAGGAGTTCATTTCCGTTTAATTAAAGATCAACTCTATAATTAATAATAATATTTATTTAATATTATTTTAAGTACCATAAACCACCGGCCACAAGTACACTAAAAATACATCAGTAGTAAAAAATAAAGAAAAATTAAATAATATACAGCTAAATACCAACAGGTATTGCATCATCCAAAAACATTCCTCCTTCACGAAAGGAATAAAATAAATATTTAGCAGTTTGTTGATTTTTGTTGGTCATTAAGTTAACGAGCTGTGTATACATTCGGAATATAGCGCTGTCTCAGCTCATCGCAGGCGGGTAGACAAGTCAAAACTGAAATCCATCGTCAACCCCACTACATTTCATTTCACTTACAAAATACGTAAATTTACATAGTTTATATGATGTTAAGTGTTGGAAATCGATGTCGAAACATCGCTGAGGAAACAAAACAAGAAACTCACTTTTATTAGAACTGTGAAGCAAACATTTGCTTCCATATTGCATTATTAGAACAATTTTTGTGTCAAATATTATAAAAATGCACTGATTCAATTTTGCATAAAGTAACCATAAGTGCATGGGGAGCTCTTGTCACTGATGCGCTAGAGGTTGTTGACACATTGACCAATAACATAATGAACTTATTCAGTAATCTTTAATATGCAAACCAATTATCCGCAAAAAGATTTAATTAAAACAATAGAACAACTCACATTATCACTTAACATGCGTCTTACTGAAGTTTTACGTGAAGTTCATTTATAAAAAAAATCAAAAAGAGACACAATACATACTACACGCACTTGTAAATACATAGAGTTATAAATTGGAATACATATTACCAGACTGACCGGTCACTGTGAATTATTTTTTCGTAGTCGATGAATGCACAATAAAAACGTCCTGTTTGGTTGTGAAATGTTTTTAACCAGTGTGTGAATAATAAACACGATATCTACGGTTCTATACCCTGCTATGAAACCTGCTGGTTCTTCTCTTAGACTAATGAATTCAGTAATTTCATCTCATTTATATTGTATAAAATTCTATATTTGTAGTAATGTGATAGCACGATAATTATAGGCATTATTCCTAGAACCATTCTTATGTATCGGGAATGTAATACCCTCACATCAATGCTTATGTGCCACCCGACTGGGGGTGTCATTTCACGTTTTTTTGTTTAGAAGTGGGTGGCCATTTATCAATGTTTTGATTTAGAAGTGTGTAGCATTTATTTACTTTTTCACAGGTCATTATATTCAAAGCCAGATACTGGAAAAGGCTGAATAAAATGCATCGCCCGGATGCGCTCACTGGTTGCGAACGTTATGAGCTGGGTGTTTGTTTGTTTTCTCGCTGAAAACAATTGTGCTTAGAAGTGGGTATATAAATAGAAATAAATGGTTTAGAAGTGAGTATGGATTACGAGAGGTGGGCTGCACACCCTTACCCATTTAATGAGAAGGTAGCCCCCCGGATTTACCCAATTTCAGCTGTTTTGATAATAACCTCGATTACAAGTTGGGAAATTTGACAATTAATAAAGTTTAGTAATTTGGTCGTCCTATGGGTAGTTGAAATTACCTGCCCGAACAGCAGATTGAATACTGCGCCACAAATCATTGTGTCCAGTGTTATCTCAACATTAATAACAGGATTAAATAAGGAATTGAAATAATTAAATCATTCAGTTTGACTAGTTTAAGATGATGTGTGCTAGTCTGCATTTCGAAAGAATCCCAAATCCGTTTTGTTATCACTGTTACGAACGGTTTTCAGATATTTGGTTATTTTGATAGACCTTCTTTTTTGCAAGTACGATAATCAATTAAAGAACTAACTAAGAGTGATTACATTCAGTGTGTACAGTGAATGCTTACACCTTTGTTACTCTGAAACATGCGTGGTCGAGTATTCGAATTGTGAAAAGATGGTTTTAATAAAAACAATAATACCCCCCCTGAGTGTCTCCCCTTATTAGCTGATCGTTGTGTGTTAACATTAAAGTGCAACTAAACTAAAGTTGCATGATTCTACAAAGGTTTTAGCAATAATATATAATTGTTTTAAATATGCAATTAATTTTGTATCGTTCCATTTGCCCACCAATCCTCTTATGCTCCAAGCAAAGAGTTTCACCTTGTTAATTTCCGAAGAAGTTTGGCCACATTATTATGACCACTCTATGGTGAGTGTCGTAGTATTCATACAGTGTTTGTTTTCCATTCTGGTTCTTCACGGAGAGTCTGACGTAATTCACATATGCTCCTATGTTAGGACTCATCATTTTTCAGCGTCTTTCTGAATTCAAACAATTTTTTAATCTGATCTCTCTTGAATATACTTTAAACATATTATTTTGCACCCTCACAATCACAAGTTCCATTACTTCATCGATACAGAATTAAGGTCACATATACTTCTCAAATTAAAACGTGATTCTATGATGTGTTATTTATATTGTACTCCGAAAACAAATAGGAATGCGACATGTTCATAACGAATAACCTGGTCGTATCTGATTGTCCAATGAACTGATGTAATATTCCATCACAAATTATTGATGAGGATCGGCTAATGACGGTAAATCGGGATTCGGCTTATAACTCTCGACCATTTTCAGAAACATACAATAACAATGAAGCCGCCATATGAACAAAGACTAAGTTATACGAGGTAATATAATCAGCGCCCCAGTGATAGTACACACGGCAAACACAATGAGAAGAATCCGATCCACAACTGCTGCAACTTCCATCCACTCGGTTCTAATCTGCAAGAAAGGTAACTTTAGGTAATATGTTTCTTGCACAGATTTAGATTAACTATTTCATAAAGGTGTCCTTAAAACAAACGTTGCTCACAATCGTCTTAGGTAGTACCCGAACTTGTTTTGAATAGAACAAAGACCTTGTGAATTTTTTCGTAACGCAAACTCCACTCTAGAAAAAAAATACTGTTAACATAGTTATAAAAGTCGCAACTGTTATTATCAGAACACATTTGCTTTCATTGCAACATTATTGTATGTTGGGATCTACTGTAGTTAGGGGTTCTAATTCCACGAAATTATACTATTTGGTGGTAAATAAGGGCTATGCAATATCTTACCTTGTCACGATGGTCGTCTGGTATCATATGTTCAGTTATTTTGTCCAAAGATTTGATAATTTTATCCAAAGTAGAAATTATTTTCCCATATTGTCTATTGTTGCTGGTGCACAGTTTAACTTTATTGTGTTTTATACCATTGGGTTCCACGTCCACATTTCAAACGTATATTGTCTTGTCCATGCTCGGATGTATGTTTATAGAAATCAACACTGCCACCATCATTTTCTAGATGTTGTCGTTTCGGCAAAAGTAGATAAACGTACATTTTGCCAAGTACATGTTTCTTAATCCACCTTGGCACCGGTTTCTGTCTGCCGCTAACTTCGCATTTTTTATAAATCCTAGAAACAAGAGTTGTTACGGCAACGGAAATTGCAATTGCGAACATACTGAATAGGAAATAGACAGTAATGAGAGGAAGGTTTGTCGATGTCGGTGGCAGGAGATCAGTAATGAGTAAATTAAATACGTACAGAGTAAGCATCAACGAAATACTCAGGTTGAGTTTGTCTGGAGAATTCGACGGTAGACAAAATACGACAAGTGTTAAAATAGACACCATCACACACGGCAAAATCAAATTTACAACATAATACAATGGCTTTCTTTCAATAACAAGTGTAGCAATAAGGCTTGTGAAGATTTGTCGGTCATTAATTCCAGTAAATTTTCTTCGTATCGGTGTCAAACTAGACGAACTCACATCCCATTCAACATTAGGTATATATTTTTCGAATTTTACTTCATCGTAGCGAGGTATCAAGATCATTTCATTGTCAGAAAATGACCACGATTCGAATTCCAATTCACAATGCTGAATATCAACAGGAAACATTGTAATATCCATAATACACGGGGTGTAGAGAACTTGGGGTACAACTTTTAGTATGTCTCCATCGCTGTACACAATTAATTTGAGTTCGTTAATGTGCATCAACGGAAACCCCGGGTACTGGTTGTCAGCACTAGAAAAAGAAAATAGAAATTAGTATGTTCTCAAAACATTGAACGCATACACGACATAACTCTCATTAGACTGCTTATCGAATTCACATAATTCACAACTTAAGTTTTAAGTTGTTCATAGGCAATTCACGAAAGTGGTAGTCGTTATAACC